CAATTTAGTAACAACCCGATTAACTAACCTATTTATTCGGATTACGTGGGTTAGAGTATTACACATATCATCAAAATAGGAACTCAAAATTAAACTCTCTATATTTTTTTACTATAATATTTAAGACTCGCTTCATGAGAATTCGACAAGTGGACTACACACTTGGCCATTTTTTGACACGTCAGCATGCCATGTAATTCTTAGAGTATGCACTGGTAATTACTTTTTCTTGTTACATTTTAATTAGTTACAATTACTAGTTTTATGACTTTAGTAAAAATTTATGTTTTGTCAATTTCATGCCTTAGTTACCTTATTAAAAATTTATATTTTCCCATAATTAAAGCTAATTTGCGATGATACTTTAATTAAAATACAAATTTTTATTATGATTAAATATGAGTTTTTTCGTTATTTAAAGCTAAATTCATAGTTTATGTGGTTAGAAAAATATAAGTTTATATATAATTTCTTACGTTATGTAATTTTCATAAATTTTACTCGATGAATTTAATAATTCTTGCCTTATGTAATTTAAGTAATTTAAACTTGATGATTTTAGGAAGTCCTGTCTTGTGTGATTTTAGTTGTTCTATAGTATACTTTTTCTAACATTATTAACTATATAACATTTAAAAAATGAGATTCTTTACTAACACACCAATATACAATATGAAAATGATAATTATTTTAATAGATAAATAATATTATACTACATAGAGAGAAGTAAAAATGTAATCTTAAAAGTAAATTCTATAAATGGTCCTTAATTATTGGTGATTTTTCATATTTAGTCTCCAATTCTAAGATATTAAAACAATTCCATAAATCGGTATTTAAGACAAATATGACTATATTTTTTCCACATATAGTCCATGAATGACATATTATAGTATACAAAGTAATTTTCAAATTGTGGATAATTTATGTTATTCCTTAGTATTGAGGATTTAATATAGAAAATCGTCTGTAATTAGAGATTGTTTATGTAGTTACACTAATTCTTGATAATAATATATTTATAGTTTAAAGGGATCAAGACTAAAGTAAGATTAAAATATAAAAAGTCTATCAAAATAGTAATTTTATACTTTTATTTTCAAAATAGAAGTTAAAATATACTTAAAATGTTAATCATGTCAATGTACAATAATACTAAAAAATGTGAAATGTCCATACACAGTGTCATATTAACACAGTGCAAACTTTTATTTTGGGATAAAAATATGAAAGTTTTATTTTGGTACTTTTTATATAATTTACTCCTATATAGGGTGATTTGTTTCGTTTAAAATACTAAATGACAATAAAATTTTGAATATAATATATAAGAATATAGTTTCAATATTTCTTGTGGTTTGAAAAATAGGTAGGAATGGCCCCATCTATTTTCAAAACTTATTTATAATATCTCCATCATTTTAAAAGGTTGCACAAATATCCTCTCGGACAATTTTTGTTCATTTTTTCCCGTGAAGAGGGGCATTGATGCCCATTTTAAAACCACAAGAGTATGAGAGACCATTATCATAATTTTTATTCATTTTTTATTTCTTTTTTATAAATTGTGCTTTATATTGTTTTTAAATTCAAATTAGTTTAAAGGAAACAAGTGAAAGAAAAATAATTTTTATTCATTTTCAGTCATAATTTTTATTTCTTTTTGTTAAGTAATATGTGACGTGGTACTAGATAAATAAAAGAAACTTTGAATGTCAAAAAAATAAAAAAAATATTTCTGGATTCCAAAAGAATTGAAAAATTATTTTCTTATTTTTTATTCTTCATTTTTCAATTGTTTTCTTCCTTTCCTTTTATTCATTTTTTCTAAAATGATAATTACTTTTTTCCAAGAAGCATTAGTTCAAATTTATCAGTTACTATATTTTTGATTGTTGACTTGTTCATCCCATATCGGCTATGCAGCCTTATATTGTGCTGCTATTTAATAGCTTGGGTACCTCAACCTCTTGAGTTAACTTTTGGGGTTGAATTGGGCCCAAGTCTATTGTTTCAACATGGTATCGGAGCTAGGCCATTGATGTTGGGACCGCGCCCGCAGTAATCTGCGCCTTGTGTGAGGGGGGCGTGTTGACTTGTTCATCCCACATCGGCTATGCAGCTTTATATTGTGCTGCTATTTAATAGCTTGGGTACCTCAACCTCTTGAGTTAACTTTTGGGTTGAATTGGGCCCAAGTCTATTGTTTCAACATGGTATCGGAGCTAGGCCATTGATGTTGGGACCGCGCCCGCAGTAATCTGCGCCTCGTGTGAGGAGGGCGTGTTGACTTGTTCATCCCACATCGGCTATGCAGCCTTATATTGTGCTGCTATTTAATAGCTTGGGTACCTCAACCTCTTGAGTTAACTTTTGGGGTTGAATTGGGCCCAAGTCTATTTTTTCAAATTTTAATTAATTTTAAAAAATCACACATGAATTTTGGTTTTTGAATAATTTTTAGTAAAATAATATAGTGATGTCAATTATGTATTCAATCACACTACATCGAAAGATCTATAAACTAAGTTATTTTCTCGAACTATTATTATTGAAAATTAATTTTAAAAAATATTTTTAAGAATTTAGAGTACCAAATTTTAATTAATTTTAGTGAAATTTTTATTAGTGTATGAAATTTTTTATTAATATTCTCTTCATCCACAAATTTCTTCCATTACAATGTTTGAATTAAATTAGTTTTAATTCATTTTATATGATAATTCATGTAAAATTAAATAATAAAAAATACATATTTAAAAACAAGATCAAAAGTTTTATAAAATTAAGTGTGACATGACTATATTAATTTCACTCACGATCAGTATCAAATATATATTTATCATATAGCTTTGTTCTATAAGTTTGGGGGAGGGGGATGAGGACGGGGTGAAAGTAGTTCTTTGCTTTGCTCGTACTATTAGAGGACTCAAGCAATTACAAAGAAAATGGACATTCATCCATAGAAAATAAAAACATTTTTTAAAAAAATGAACTTCTACCACTTATGTACAAAATGTAGGAAATTATATTTAGATCCTTTAAAAATATTTTTCTTCCAACAAAAGAAAACTGTAAAAGTTAGAATCCAAAAAGAACAGTATCAAACAAGAATTGAAGAATATAACAAAATTTTGTTCCACCCGTACATGGTACGTGTTAAAATACTAGTAACACCTAAATTATTAAAATGTAAAAATATCCCCCATGTGCCCCATTCCCAAACAAGCTTCTCGTCTCTTGTCTATCGATTCCAATCCCTTCCCCGCCACCCTATTCAATCCATTGCAATTGATATTGCCACCAGCTTGCCACCCAATCGCAGCAGCATCGCCGCTGTCTCCTAACAATCGCAACACCATTACCTCCATGCACCTCCACCTGTTTTCACTATGCTGATTTTCATGGAGTATCTGTGTATTTTAACGTCAGTTGAAAGGGTGAATATATCATATGCAAATTGATATGATTTGATGCATGTTTTTTAATTTGGTTTGTTTAAGGGCATGGGGTTGATTTTTGGGATTCTGATGGGCATTCTATATGAGTATTTGTAGCATTTTATATGACCATTTGTGCCGTTATATATTGTCATGCATGACATTATGTGGTGTCATTTTGTCATCATCTCTTTTTTTGATATTGTATTGATATTTGATAGTTAATGTTACACTGCGACGAAAACGATACATATTGTGATTCTAGTGTGGGCAAAAATGGTATAGAGCGGTGTTGTCGGTGGTGAAGGCAAAAAATGAACGACATTGGAGGGTTTTGACAGCAGCAGCGGAACATGGATGGCAACGGCGGTGGAGACTCAAGTGATAGCGGCATCGACACGACGACTAGGGCCCAACAGCTTCGGCAACATGTTTGCGGTGGAGCAAGTTGTTAAATTGTTTTTTAGTTTAAGAACTATGGCAAAGTTTCTTTTTTGGGTTGAGCTAATATTTACATGTACTCCTCCATGAGGTCGTGGTTCTACTCGAGACTAATCTTAAAATATACTCTCTAATATGCATAAATGACATAACTAAGGTGGATGAGCAAAATGAGTGGCGCGTGGGTACACTTATTGAATTGCAGAGATGCGTTGGGCACACATTAACTTCTATTTTGAAGATTTTATCTTTTAACTCATATTTTAGGATTTAATCAATATTTTACTCCTATTTTCCTCCAGTATTATGTGGTTTTAATATGTTGTCCATACTTATCAAGTTTTACAAACATAATCCTCATTTCTTTAGTTTAACAGCAAGAGTGGCAGAGAATTAGCCGTGGAAGGAACCAAAAAAAAGTAGAAAACCACCTACTATTAAGACCATTTTTAAAATTTAAAATTAAAATTTCTATATCTAAAAACTACATCAAAAATTCTACTTCGTTCAAAACTAGAGTGACATGATTATATTATAATCTGTATTATTTTTTCCAATAACCAATGAAATAGGCATAAATAAATAAAGTTTAACCATATACTACGTAATAATAATTAGGAAAATAGTTTTAGGACGGAAGAAATACATTTTTGCATTCTCTCAATCTTTTCTAATATTAACACTATGTTTAGTTCAAAGAAATTAGGAAAAAAAATGAAAACAAAATGATTTTTTTCATTTTTTCTCACAAAATTGGAAGGTATCACTTTTACAACACTCATTGATTATAAAGGATGAGCCCCATCCCCGAGGCCCCTGGACCTGGCCGAACGGTTATCAAGAGTGAGTAAATTAGATTTTAATCGCATATTGATAGCAGAGAATGAAGTCTGCAATGATACTTGCAGAGGCCTTATGCTCATAGTTGCCTCCCAATTCAATTACAAGAAATCAAACTCGAGTTTATCCCTTGACACTCCCTGGCCCCTACCTTTGCCAACTGCGTAACGCTCATCGACACACACATCGATTATAATTCCACCCCAACATGTTATTCTACTACAACAAAAAATAATGGTAATCCCACTAGAATGAAGGATAACAAATCAAAAAATCATTCCAAAGTTCAAACTTTTATTTATTTATCACTTAGAATTATAAATTTACATGAAAATAAAAATGTAACCCTAACTATTCCAAACAAACCAAAAAGCACAACTGCCACTAATCAGCCGGCACTTCACCTCCGCGGGGCCGGTTTGTAAAGCACTGTTGTAACATACTGGGAGCCAAGCCGCTGCGTGGTTGACACCGCCACGGCTTCAAGGGGGAATTGTCTGCCCCTGGTATAAGCATCCGTGTACATGTGGTTTAACACCACATGGTTGGGCGGCGTTGATGATGAGGCCTCTCCCACTCTCGTGCTTATTTCATTTAGCACAGACTGGTTTAGATGTGGGGGGAGCCGCGGTGGTCCCTGCTTTTCCTCTTCTTCTGTAATGTAGAAGATATTGTTGTAACTTGACACCGGCGATGGCGGGGTTTCGAACCCCGGGACAATAGGTTCATACTGCATGCATATAAGATACATATATTTGTTCAGATCTATTCCCAAACATAACCTCAAGAAAGATTCACTGAATGACAGAATAATGTTTAGAGAATGGTGAGGATAGCTCACAAACGCTCATGTACAGGGTATGGTGCTACAAAAACATGTCATTCACTAAGCCTTTCATGAGCTTTTCGATATGTTTAATTAGACTTTTTGCTTACCTCATTTCCGGCTTGTTGTGGATTATTCATTTTGATGACGAAAAGAGTCGGAATATAAGTGCCTGAAAAAAGATATTGTTATCCTGCAATGTGATTTAAGAATATGTGCATGAACAATAGCTTTCAAAATCTAATCATATCTTAAAGCCAAATGTACAATCCACAGACGCACACAAAACTTCACTCAAGAACAATCCCTAGAATACTTGCTACATTTGGAAGAAAGTACAAAACAAACAGAAAGAGTGATTAATCAACATACTAAGAATTGATGATCTTCTTCCTTAAACCAACTCTTCAATGAATTCCCTTTTTTAATTATCCTTCCCGAAAGTGTTTGATATCGTTTGAAGAAGAGAAACGCCAGTATTTATAGAATGTGTGACCACCATTAATGAATTATCTAACCCCATACATGCAAAATATTAAGCAGACACGTTTCCACACCGTTAATCTCAAGTGCCAAGTGTTAGCTATACGTGCTGATCATGGGCAACACACCGAATGTATTTTCTTTTCTTTTTCTAAACTAAGATGTTAAATACAATGCAAATGCACCATTATGTAGCTCGAAATCAATAGAGTACTTCCTTAGCTAGCCATAACCCCATTAAGCCATAAGCTATCAATACTTTGTGCTAGATCTAACACTGTAAAAACTTTCTTGGCCCTCTAGCTACAAGATTGAACTTTTGGTTCGGTTGGATTCTTAAAATGACATCGCAGCCTAGTTGACACGAAGGTCAAGGATTCAAATTTCATCGCCACCTAGATTTTAAAAATTAATGTTCAAGTGCAAGGCATGATCAAAAACAAATTTCTCTAGGACATAAAAGACATAATAGAGTTTAAATACCTTTTGTGGGCCTTCAAAAAAACATGAGTTTTTGGTTAAGTTGGTTCTTTTACACTTAGCTTCTATCTATTAAAATTGGTCGTAACAAGTTAATTTCCACAATAATGGCCAAAACCTCATATGTTGACTAGCACTTAGTTATTATAAGTCACTCGCAAATGATGAAACATTAAATGAAATATCCTTTTACAACTAAGTTTAACATGCCAAATAAATAGGGAGTATAAAATTAATGGGATAATTTTTTGTTTTAATCACTGTTTTATGACTTATGAGAGAGATTGAATTTTCATTGTAAAAAATCCTTACAAACCGTACATTAAAGATTTCAGAATGAAATAACTCCCCCATCCAATGTACCTAAAAAAATCAAATGACCAGACCAAAATTGTCCAAATGCGAAGTCAATAATCAAATTAAAGTTCAAAATATACTACACACACATAATCCCACCATGCATGTGCAATCAATTAAACTGGAAATCCAAACACAGAAAAAAATTTAAAAAAAAAGTAATAAGTAGAAGAAGAAGAAGAAATGGGCTTTGAAAGAGTAAAACAGAGGAGCAGAAGAAGTGAGTGGGGAAGTAGCCAAAAAAGCCTGAGAAAACGGAGGAAAGCAAAGAATTGAGAAGAAAATCAAGAAATTCAGCAGTAAATTCAAGGGTGAAGAAGCAGTAAAGTGCGAAGAAGCCATGAAATGAAATTCATAAAAATAAAAACAATACTTAGATTTCTTGTTGTTAGATTTATATGGAAAATGCCAAAATGATATGAAGCATTTGCAAACCATACTTATGAAAATGGTGCGTGTGTGTGGTTTTCACTTATGTTAGTGTAGTCTTTTTACTCCTTAGAGCATATGAAGGCCTTAGAACATTTTCCCCCAAATCAAACTCGAGAGTGACATATAGTGGATTTGTTTGGTTTTGTTTACTTAGAAACTACAACTTCATCTGGACCTGTTCAAAATCTTCTAATAACAGGCAACCACGAAAAATCAACAAAAAAAACTATCATCATTTTCAATCAATAGCATAAGTCTAGAAAAGTTAACTATTAATCACTGTGGACTCTTGGGTGTGTGAATTTCTTTTATGGAGTATCTGCAAAACAAAAAAGAGCACACTGTTTTTTTGACCAAAATTGGATCTTCCATTGCAAAAAAATCCTTAAAAACAGTACTTTAAAGCTTTCAGAATGAAATGACACACCAATTCAATGTACCATAAAAGAAATCAAATGACCAGACCTAAAACTGTCCAATTGTGAAGCCAAAAATCAAATTAAAGTTCAAAAATTCTACACACACATAATCCCACCATGCATGTGCAATCAATTAAACTGGAAATTAATTCAAACCAAGTAAAAAAAACCAACAGATCTAATCAGAAGAAGAAGAAATGGACCTTGAAAGGGCTAAGCAGAGGAGGAGCAGAAGGAGTGAGTAAGTGGGTGCCGCCATGCCTCCTGGCTTAATTATAAGGGGCCGAAAAAGGCTGAGAAAAGGGAAGAAAGCAAAGGAACGGGAAGAAATTGAGGAGGGAATTCATGAAAAGAGGTGTCGTCCAGCCTCCGCCCTCGCTGGCAAGTAACGTAACACCCGCTGTGTCCGTCCAAAACTCCATCTGAGATCGCCTCCATCTCTTACTCATACTACCCCCTTTTTTTGGTGCTTTGAAGCCGATGGATGTGTTACGGTAGTACCCAAATCAATTCCAAATATAGTCCTTCAATTGTTTGAAGCTTTCACCTCAATATTGAGTATTTTTTACTTACAAAAAAAATTAAAAGTAAATTCTTTAAATACTCCCTCTGTCCTGAAGTATTCGTCCAGTTTTGACTTTTGGAACTGTTCATCTAAGCACTTTGACTCATTAGATTCTCTCAATGTGTAAGCCTAAATATAGTCATGTGTGATCTTGTTTGATTTGTCTTAACATATAGATTATTAATATATAATTTCTATAATTTTTTAATATACAAATTACAAAATAAAATGGATTAAAGAAGTGTATTGGATGGTGTATAAAAATGAAAGTGGACAAATACTCTGGAACGGAAGTAGTAATATTGAATTATTATATCTTTTCCCAAATTAGTCCTTGAGATGTAATTCCTCCGTCCTAAAAGATTGCCCCATTTGTTTTTCAGGACCAACTTTTGTTTATTTGTAATTTGTAACTTTTCATTGTTATTTGATAAAATAAAATATTTTTGACACTACTTCTTTCAAAAAACTTTTCGTTTAGTTTTTAAATATGTAAATTTATTTTTTATTTCTATACCACTATTTAATAAACTAAATTGAAAAAACTTGATATTTTATCTCGGTTTTGGAAATGTGGGAAACAAGTAGGGACGGAGGGAATATTAATTACGTAGTATAACCTAAATGGTATTTTCTTCGTCTAAAAATTATCCACATGTTTACTATTCACATGTTAAACTCTATTCATTTTTTTACCTTATTTTCGTTGTCGATTTGATAAAATAGTATAACCATATCGCATCTAGTTTTGTTGATCTTTTGATGTACTTTTTCATTATCTAATATTTTAATTTTTATTTTACATCATTTTTCATATAAAATGGCTTGAAAATAATTTCAATTAAACATCATAACGCACAACGGAAAGATAATTTTTGGAAAAGGAAGTACTGAGATATTTAAATTTTTAGTTATTTCATTTAGTTTATATATTTTGAGTAGATTATACTCCGTACTTCGTAAGTTTGTAATATACTAATTAGTTTAATTGATTTAAAATAACTTTCCCAGTCTCATAAATTTTTTCAAAGACGAAAAATGGTGTGCGTTTACAATTTTAGGCAAAATTTTAGGGTTTTCCATATTTAGTTATTTATTGTCAAATATTACGCATATGGTTCTTTTTTATGAATATTTTTTCACAAATAATTCTTTTTTGATCTTCTGTCATGTTAATGTTAATTTTAGAACTAAAAGTATAATTTGACATCAACTCTATTCAGTGGCGTATTCAATTCCGATGTTGGTTAAACGACAACGCAACAATATGACTATTTGTGGACTAGGATTCTGTAGATTATAATTGTAGTTGACCGCGACTCTGATTCACAAGAAACACATTAGGTGACTAAAAGATTTAAGACTATATTTTTAAAAGAATTATATGTGTCATGATTATAGACTTTATTTTTAGACAAATGGATAATACGTATATTATGAGATTGACTCAATACATATTTTACCTAGAACTTTTGTTTATGGTAATATGACTAATTATGATATGAAATAAAAGTATTTCCATACAATTTGACTATTTTTAAAATATTGATTATTTCAAATAAACAAATTAGAAAAAAGATTTAATAAGACTTTTATATATACTTTATCTTGGTAACTTGATTTGCTATTTTAATCAAAATAATCTTATATTGTAAGTTACGATTTACTCATTGTATACTTATATTGTGCTACAATTCAAAATATTTATACATAAAATCTAGAAATTTTGAATGAGAGAGTACTTATTTCCATCGATTTCATTTACGCAATCATATATTTAAACTTCATAGGACGATATTATATGAGACGACACAGATTTATGCAAAGAAGATTGTGACAAAGAAGATCAAGGTGTGGAAGGGAGCGTGATAACATTTGTGATAATGAAGATTTAGGCTAATAAAAAAAGTAGGAAAAATTGTGCAAAAACTCTAACGTGCAATAGCTAATAAGTTCGAGATGCAGTTACAGGTTACACCACATCAAAAAATACAAATTCCAATTTGTAACAATTTGTATTTTGATAGAACATTTTATATCTTGACCAAAATACTATCCCGACAAAATCATTAGAGCACTACCATTTTAACGTTTTTTAAAATCAATGTGGGGGAGAAGAATAATTGAATCTTAATATTTTAAAATTAAAATTTTTATTCATAGAGATTATGGATCACTAACTTAAGATTGTGTTTTTTAATAATGCAAGAAAGAATAATAATTTTTTTATAATCATTGGGGGGGGGGGGGGNTTTACTCCGTCCCTGAGTATTTGTCCAGTTTTTACTTTTTCCGATTAACTATTTTCAATATTTGACTTATAATTAAATAAAATATATATTATATATTGAGTAGATAAAATAATATTTTGAAAATGATTGATATAATAAATCAAATAAAACTAATTTTGTATCAATATGTAATATCATTTTTATTTAACTTGAGGTCAAAATCTACCAATTTTGACCAAAAATAGTCAATTGTGGACAAGTACTAATAGACAGAGAAAGTATTTAATTATAAGGTCGGTAATTTAGGTTTTTTATATTAATGTGATGAAAAAGAATCATTGAATCACTAATATTTTTTGTATTAATATATTTTTGAATTTATACAGGGTGAAACATTTTAGATTTGTATAAATATAGCAAACCTAGATCATTTATATTTGACTTTTAGATAATATGTCAAGTAAAATTCAAGATCCACATGATAGAATCGAAAAAAATTTCTTCCGAACCCGTGCATGGCACGGGTAGAAATACTACTAATTTCAAAGTTCAAACATTTACTCACTCTCTCCCAAAATACTCCATATTTTACATTTTACTCAAAGCAAAGTGAAATCTCAAATATTTTTAATTTATTTTATTTAAAGATCAGTATTGAAATTAAAATAAAATTACATATTTAAAAATTGAGTCAAAAGTTCTATAAAACAAGAGATACCATGAAAACAAAATATTTCTCATTTTTTTCACCAAAATAAAATGAATTTGGTTCTCCATCATCTTAGTACTCCCCGGTCCCTATTTTGATTACAAAATGTGGATTACGATTTTACGAGGTAAAATCCCACGATTTTTTAAATCATTTTATTTATAAATTAGTACATCAATAAAAAATAAAAATTACATGTTAAAAAATACATAAAAAATTCTACAAGACAAGAGGCGATAAGAATATTTTATTTTATCAAATAATCAATGAAAACACGCAAACAAACAAAAGTTATCAAGAAGAGAAATAAAATAAAATTGTAATTAAAACGAGGATAAAATTTTAACGGTGCAGATTACTTTGAAAACGCTAACGCTAAACGCTGACCGTAGATAGCCTTTTCAAAACGCTAATCTCTAACGCTATTCCCAAACAGGGTCTTAGTGAATGGCAAAATAATGTTTAGAGAATGGTGAGGCGTTTGATATTGTTTAAAGGAAAATGTTGGTTTTTATAGAAAGTGTACGTGAGCACCATAATGAATAACTAAATATAATTACATGCAATACAAAATATTAAACGGACACATTTCTAAGCTGTTAAACTCAAGTGCCAAGTCCCTTTCTTTTCTAAATTGAGATGTTACATACCATGCAAATGCACCATTTTGTAGCAAGTAAATGAAGTAATCAATAGATCAGAATAATTCCTTATTACCCTAAATCAGTCGTGAGTTGTATGCAATAAATACGTACGTAATGTTAGGGAAGTGTACAAACCTTTTTTGGGTCTCTAGTAACAAACTTGAGTTTTTGGTTGAGTTGGTTCCTTGACATGACATCAAAGTCAGCTTGTTAGGGTTCACCATATCATAGGTCACGGGTTCAAATCTCTTCGTCACCTACAGGTTTAAAACGTGAATGTTCACATGCAAAGGTTTGTGTAAAACGAAATAAATATCGTTTGCACATGATATAAGACTATAAGTGTTGGAATATAGAAAACCTTTTCTTGAACATCTATCTAACTACAAACATGATTTTTTTTATGATGGCTTGCATTAAAACAAAATGTAAGTGTAAACCGTACAAGTAGATTTATTCTTCCACTTATTTCAGTCTAGTCTTTTTACTCCTTATCAGAGTGAGACATAGTGGACTTGTTTGTTTTGGTTTACTCATGAACAACAGTTCCATGATTCCATCCAATAACTGCTTTTGAAAAAAACTTCAAACTTTCATATGGACCTTTATATATACAGTCTTGTACCAAGTGATAACTGCCAAAAATCATCATCAAGAACATAATTTTAGATAAGTTCAGTATAAAAGTTTATCAGTTTGGACTCTTGAGTGTGTGTGAATTTCTTTTTCTGCAAAAGAACAGAGTTTCAGAAAGACTGAATCTTCCATTGTAAAAAAAAAACCTCACAAACAGATAAACTTCATCCAATAAACCATAAAAATGTACTGATGAGAGGATCAAAATTGTCAATGAGTGAAATCAATAATCGAATCAAAGCTCAAAAAGATGTGATTTTTACCATGCATGTGCAATCAATTCGACTGGAATTTCAGACACAGAAAGAAATAACAAATCTTGGGATGTAAGAAAATCAAGAAGAATTAGGGCAGGGATGGCATAGCCCAGAGGAAATAAAATGGACTTGCTGAAGTAAGAAGAATTGAGACAAACCCAATGCGAAATATGAAAGGAGGAAGCTAATCTTTAATCAGAAGAAGAGAAATCAAAGAAGGAGAAGAAATGGACATTGAAAGGGATCGGATAAGCAGAGGAGCAGAAGAAGTGAGTGGGGAAGGTGAGACCCCTTAATTGCCTTTACTTATAAGGGCCGAAAAAGGCAGAGAAAACGGAAGAAAGCAAAGGATTGGGGCGAAACTCCGCAGCGAAATCATGAAAAGTGGCATCGTCCAACCCTCGCCCTTGCTGGCAAGTCACGTAACCCCCGCTGTGACAGAGAGTGCGTCCAAAATCACAGCCCATTTAAATTTTGTTCAATTTTTGTTTTTACTATTTTCAATACCCATTTGATAATGAGTCTGTTTGGGAATAGCTTTAGCTATTAGAGTTAGCGTTTTGAAAAGGTAATCCACGGACTGCGTTTAGCGTTAGCGTTTTCAAAGTAATCTGCACCGTCAAAATTTTATCCAAAACGCTAACACTAATCTCTAACGCTAGTCCCAAACAGGCCCAATATAATGTACTCCGTAATTATAAGTGTTAGAGTATTATCCCACATCGGAAGTCCAAGAGTAAAATAATCGGTATATAAGCTTTTGAGTTGAATTAACTAATCAATTGGATTCAATCTTTTAATGTGGTTCAGCTCAAGTGTCTTATTATCCAATTCAGTTGTCCATACCATACCCTAAATTCTATCAATAACACATCAGTAGCGGCCTCTGACATTGGTTATGAACTTATGACATTAAGAATGTAGACATATGTAAAACTGTACTTTTACGTATTTTAACTTTCAATTTAACATTGATATGACGGAAAGAAAAAAATGATACTACCTCCGTCCAAAAAAGATTTACACGTTTTGACTAAAGTTGAAATTAAGGGAGGGATAATTTTGTGTTGACTTTTCAAAAATACCCTTGATGTGATGGGTAAAAAGTAGGATGTGATGTGTAGATTATTAGGAAAAAGGTATGATGTAATAGGTAGGGTTTGAAAAAGTAAGGAGTAAAAGTGGTTTTTTAATAAAAATGGGTACGAGATTGTGAGACACAATTTTTTTGAAAAATGTAAATCTTTTTGGGACCGAGGAAGTATTTGTTAAAAAGTACTGAACAAAAAGAAACATGGACATAGTTTTTTTATAACCGAAGATGAGTTTATTGCATCAATATTTCATTTGATTTGGTAAACGTGCACTGTAATTACCATGCTTTCAAAACTTACATCGTTGCCCACATACTTCTGATATTTCCATGCTAATGTCTCTAATGTAAAATTTCAATCTTTAGGTAAATACCTATGGTGACCCTTGTGGTTTTGGAAATGAGCACCAATGCCCATTCTTTTCTTCTTTATTGTTTTTCTATTCTCTTCTCTTTTTTCAATAAATGTTTTAAAATTGTTTTTTAAAACTTTTTTTTATAATATTTTTAAAAATAAAATAATAAACATATTAATACTCCTTCATTTTCCTCAAATTAAATATTTTCATTTTTATAAAGAAAGGTTCTTAATTTTTTGAATCAATTGGACCAAAAGAATATAAACTAAAGTCTTTTTGAGATTACTAATTTAATTGGTTTCACAATTTTACAACTAATTAAATGGTGTAAGATGGCATATTCCCTTTTTTATTATTAAAATGAGAGAAAGCATTGTTGTGGTTAGAGCTGGCAAATCGATCGGTAAGGTCGGGTTCGAATTCGGTCACTTCAGATTCGGGTCAATTCGGGTTCGAGTTGAGAACTGTATCTTCATGACCCATTGTCATCGGGTTCGGGTCGACCCAACGGGTTATGGCTTTGGTTTTTTAAATTTTTAAATTAACATTAACACTTAACATTTTCTATTAAATAAATTTAAAATATCAAAATAAATGTATTAAATCTATTAGATTATTGTATTTAAATTCTGAAATAATTTTTAGATATATAAATCAATATAAGGAATTTAAAAAATGCTTATCTTTTTGGAAACAAGTAAGATAATTATGCAATATCATTAAAATTTTGTCTGAGTAGTAAAGTGTGTGATTTTAAAAAATTCTTACATTAGCGGGTCGATTAGGTTGGGTTCAGGTTTGGTCGGGTTTAACTTATTTTTAGCGGGTCATTTCGGGTTCGGTCATCAAAACTTTTGTTCAAAACCCAGTGTTTTCATGTCGGGTTTCAAGTCAAAAACAGGTCGGGTCATTTTTTGTCAGGTCTAGTTGTGGTTACGTGTTTTTTTATGGTGAGTATGACTTCAAGTATGATACCCTTTTGTTATTACTGGAGACTGGAGAGTATTAGATGGATTCTCCTAAAAACGTTTTTAACAGTGTTTTAATTTTTTTAAGAGGAATTTACGTAAATAGAATTAAAATATAATGATTTTTCCCAAAATAACATCACATGTACTTTTTTCCAATGTAACACTTTTAGTCATTATCCATTAGTTATTATTCAAGTAATGTTTTTCATCACTGGACGTGTTATTTAGGAAATAAAAATGTTTGAGTGCTATTTAAGGAAATGACTTAAGTTTTAGTGTTATTTAGTGTAAATATTTCTTTTTTTAACTTTAACATAGTGATTAGGGAGAGCCACTTTATGTTTTTTGATTATCAAGGGACCATAGTAAACTGTTATAAATTGTTTTAGACAGTGGGAATATAATACAATCTATCTCAAATAATACATCACGCATATAGATAATAAATAATAATACAATTTTGCCGAGTATCTGTGGAATGAACAAAATCTTATTTTATGGTAAACCCATGTAAAAAAAAATAGAAATTGTTGAGCATTCATCTGATAAAAATGGCTACCCCATTGGCCATCGAGTATAATGAATAAATAATAACAATAATAAAATTAGTATGAACAACAACTTCTATTTTCTTGGTCTTGTATTCAATTTTTCATTGTGGCAAATATTAACCATAAGAAATAAAGGGAAAAGAAAAATAAAAAGAAGATATGAAGAAAGAAAGACACTAAGAAGATGATAATTATCTGTATTAACCACAGATGATAATTATTTGTATTAATCACAAATGATTAACAACTGTGTAGATATAAAATCGTCTATATTGTCATACGTGAACAATATTATCTGTATTAATCGTCTTTATTTTTTTTTTCATTTTTTCATTTTTCTATTTTTCCTCTCTAACCAAACAAGAAAAAAATCTTCCAACTAATTTTCTCTCAACAAATATGACAAGGAGTACAAGATAGAGCACAATGATATCATTTGATCCATGTAGCCAAAATAAGAATTTGTTGTCTTCTTTTCAAATTCTTTGAATCAAATGTTGAATATTGAATTAATAATATTGTTCATTGAATTATGGAATATATGATAGAGTATATATAGAAGGGAATCCTAACACAACTAAAATAAAAACTAACTAAAATACTACATTTAAACTGACTAATAATCAAACACTACCATAACAATAATAACATAAATAATACTATTACTATTGTCTAACACGAAACATAATGTAACCATTCAAAAAAAACATGCTTGCCACTAAACAACTGTGAGTTCACCTCCACAGGGCCGCCGGCCTAATCAACGGCTTCCATAGGAAATGCAATGCCTCTGGTTTGAGCATCCAGGCGGTTGATTTGTTACAAGCCTAGCATGGTCACCCCCCTGCAAAGCATGCTCCTGACGTGAGAGAGGGAGTTCAAGAAATGGGACGCCGGAGACGTCCCGTTCCACAACCTCAACGGTAACTCGCTCTCTAGCAAATGAAGACATCGTCGACATCCCCATCCTGAAAGGACAACCCAAAGGTAGGACGTAAGCCAGCTTCTGAAGGTTTATTCCTGGTCAAAAGGACCCGGGATCACCTACAGCGTCTTCAAAATGATGATGGTTGGAGATGGTAGCGGGAGATCGTACAAGGAGGATGACGAAAAGCTCTGGAAGATTCATTCTCTTGAAGTTTCCAGGGCTTTTAGTCCTCGACGAGGGACTCACGCCGAGGAACGAGGAGAGCAACATCTACAGTACATTGTCGGAGGTCAATACCCCACGCCGTATCATCCTCTCCGGCACTCCGTCCCAGAAAAACTTTCATATGGGCATGTATAAAATGTTGTACTAACTGGTAACCACTTAAAATCAACAAAAAGTATCACCATTTTTAATCATAGCATAAGTTCAGATAATTTCACTATTGATCCATTCAAAAAAAGGACATTTAGCTTCTACCTATTAAAATTGGTTGTCATAAGTTAATTTCCATAATAATGAACAAAAGGACATATGTTAACTCGCACTTAGTTATTATAAGTCAGTTTCAAATGATGAAATATTAAATGAAATATCCTATTACCTATAAATTTCACTTGCCAAAACATTAATGGGATATTTTCCTGTTTTGACCTTCACCTCAGAATTGGAAAAGATAAGTACCTTGTCAACTCAAAATTGGACAAGATACGTCCCTCTTCAACCCAGATCCAAAGTACCTTAAAAAATCAAATGACCAGACCAAAAATGTCCAATTGCAAAGTCAATAATCAAATTAAAGTTAAAAAATACTACACACAGAATCCCTTCATGCATGTGCAATCAATTCAAATGGAAATTCAAACAAAGAAAAAAAACAGCAACAAATATAATTTGAAAAAGAAGAAGAGGTAATGGACCTTGAAGGGGTTAAGCAGGGGAGCAGAAGAAGTGAGTGGGGAAATTGCCACCTTCCCTTATAAGGTCCAAAAAAAGCCCGAGAAAACGGAAGAAAGCAAAGAGGATTAGGAAGCACTTAAGTAGGACATTGAGGGGTGAAAAAGTGTTAAAACGTGAAGAAGCATATATGTTATTGTTAACTAGCACTTAGTTATTACAAGTCAGTTGCAAATGATGAAACATTAAATGAAATATCCTTATACCTCTAAATTTCCCTTACCAAATAAATATAACATTAATGGGATATTTTCCTGTTTTGATCATCAACTCAAAATTGTACAAGATTAGTCCCTCATCGCGTATCATGATCAGGACATTTTTGTCGTTAGATTTTAAAAGGATAATTTCCAGTTCCCAACTTTAGCTTTCAGATCATGTTGTTAAATTTTCAGTTTTAGATTTATATGGAAAATGATAGGATGTATTTACTAACTGGTAACCACTCAAAATCAACAAAAAGTAACACCAATTTAATCAATAGCATAATTTTGGATGAGTTCACTATGAATAACTGTGGATGCTTGAGTGCGTGTGACTTTTTTTCTGTAAAAAAATGAGATGGTTGTTTTTTGAGCAAGAGTGAAGCTTCCATTGTAAAAAAAATTCTTAGAAAGAGAACTTCAAGATTCGAGAATGAAATGACACCCCCATCCATTATACCATAAAAAAAGCAAATGACCAGACCAAAACTGTATATTCGTGAAGTCAATAATCAAATTAAAGTTCAAAAAACCTACACACACATAAACCCACCGTGCATGTGCAATCAATTCAATTGGAAATTCAAACAAAGTAAAAAAATCAACAAATCTAATCAGAAGAAGAAATGGACCTTTAAAGGTTACACAGAGGAGCAGAAGAAGTGAGTGAGGAAGTTGCCATGAAAAGAAATGCATAAAGCGTTAGGAGTCCATGAAAAGAAATGCATAAAATAAAACAAAAACGTATGCAGAAAAGGTTAAGATGGCAGTGAGGGCAAGACACAGCCTGTTAGCACGTGAGGGAACATATTAAAGTATGCAAATATTTCTTGGCCTCCAATCACAAACTAGAGTTTTTGGTTGAGTTAATACTTTGACACTTAGCTTCTACTTGTTAAATCAAGGAGTAATAAGTGAATTCCATATTAATCGTCACAAACACGTATGTTAACTAGCACTTAGTTATTACTACATAAAAGTCAGTTGCAAATGATGAAACATTAAATGAAATATCCTATTACCTCTAAATTTCCCTTACCAAATAAATATAACAAGAATGGGATATTTTCCTCTTTTGATCTTAAACTCAAAATTGGACAAGATTAGTCCCTCATCAAGTATCATGATCGGGACTTTTTTGTCGTTAGATTTTAAAGGGATAATTTCTAGTTCCCAACTTTAGCTTTCAAATCATGTTTTTAGATTTTCAATTTTAGATTTATATGGAAAGTGGTAGAATGTATTTGCAAATCATCATTATGAAAATGGTATGTGTGGTTTTCACGTATAGGAAGGCCTTAGAACACTTCCCCCCAAACCTAACTCCTGAGTGAGATATAGGAATGGATTTGTTTACTTAGAAACTACACTTTAATCCAATAACAGGGGAAACAACTTAAAACTTTAATATAGACCTGCATAAAATCTTCTACTAACTGGTAACCAGTCAAGATCAACAAAAAGTATCACCAATTTTATCAATAGCATAATTTTGGCTAAGTTCACTATTAATAAGTGTGGACTCTTGGGTGTGTGTGACATTTTTTTTCTGTAAAAAAATGAGATTGTTGTTTTCTGAGCAAGACTGAATCTTCTATTGTAAACAAAAATCCTTACAAACAGAGCTTTAAAGATTTGTGAATGAAATGACACCTCTATCCAATGTATCATAAAAAATCGAATGGCCGGAGCAAAACTGTTCAATTGTGAAGTCAATAATCAAATTAAAGTTCAAAAACCCTACACACACATAACCCCGCCATGCATTTGCAATCAATTAAAATGGAAATTCAAACAAAGAAAAAAATCAGCAAATGTAATCAGAAGAAGAAAAATAAGAAATGGACCTTGAAAGGGCAGAAGAAGTGAGTGAGGAAGTTGCCACCTTCCCTTACTTATAAGGGCCGAAAAAGCCTGAGAAAACAGAAGAAAGCAGAGGATCGAGAAGAAATTAAGCAGGATATTCAGGAGGGGGGAAAAGGCGTTAGAGCGTGAAGAATCCACCTTTCCTTACTTATAAGTAACAAATGAACAAAACAAAATAAAATTCTAATATGGACCTATATAAAATCTTCTACTTACTGGTAGCCACTAAAAATCAACAAATATCACCATTTTTAAGCAATAACATAAGTTTAGATAAGCTCACTATTGATCACTATTGTGTGTGTGTGAATTTCTTTTCTCTGGATTGTAAATAAAAAAGAACTCACTGTTTTTGAGCAAGATTGAATCTTCCATAGTAAAATTTCTTTAAAACAGTACTTAAAGAATTTCGGTGTGAAATGACAACCTCCATCCAATGTACCTTAAAAAAACCAAATGACCAGACCAGAAACTATCCAATTGTGAAGCCAATCATCAATTTAAAGTTCAAAAGGCCTACACCCACACAATCCCACCATGCATGTGCAAACAATTGAACTGGAAATTCAAACCAAGAAAAAAAATCAACAAATCTAATCATCACAAGAAGAAGAAGAAGAAGAAAGGGACCTTGAAAGGGTAAAACAGAGGAGCAGAGGAAGTGAGTGAGGAAGTAGCCACCTTCCCTTGCTTATAAAGGCCGAAAAAGCCTGAGAAAACGGAGGAAAGCAGAATCTTGAGAAGAAAATAAGCAGGATATTCAGGAGGGGTAAAGAGGCGTTAAAGCGCGCATAAAATAAAAAACAAGAAACGTACGCAGAAAAGGTGAAGAAGGCAACGCACAACCCGCGAGGGTCGATGCCCAACTCCATCTGAGATCAGCTCCATCTCGTGCCCTTCTTTGCTTTGAAGATTGGGAGAGGGGTTCAATTTCACGATTGCTTTTTAACTTTTTGTTTTGTATTTACTCGTGCCTTTTACACTAATCTATAGTTAAAATCTAATTTATCTCTTTCACTTGATAGTATGGCCGGTTTTGATAAACCCTCGGAGATGGGTTTATATTTTCTTAGTATTCTCTCCGTTCATTTTTTTTTACTATTGTATTTTCTCGATAATTTATGTTTGTTTAATGTATGAATTTATCGTTTAATCAAATTAAAGTTCAGAAAACCTACACACACACATAATCCCACCATGCATGCTCAAACAATTAAACTGGATATTTAAACAAAGAAAAAATGCAGCAAATCTAATCATCAAAGAAGAAGAAGAAATGGACCTTGAAAGGGTAAAACAGAGGAAGTGAGTGAGGAAGTAGCCACCTTCCCTTGTTTATAAAGGCCGAAAAAGCCTGAGAAATGAATTGAAAGGAGCATGACATTGAAAAAGGTTGAAACTTGAAACCCATGTCATTCATTATCTCTTTATCTTCCCGTAAACCCTCCCACCCTGTCCTGACCCGAACACACCCTCTACCCTCTTCAATTGCACCCCCAAGTTAGTTTTGCCTTCGGAATCAAATTTACGAACTGTTAATTTTATGAACGGAACACCATAGCTACTTCGGGTCATCCCATGACATGGAGTTTCAATTTCATGTGAATCATGTAGGCTCTACTACTATCCAATCGATCGGACCGTGAATCGGTGAGCATTTCGTTCTTGTTCAATTGTCAAACCCGGATTTGTATTAACCCGACCAAACCCAGTCCCAGAGCACTTGGCAAACCTAGTGGACCAGGTTGACTCGCCTGACTCGCGGGTTTGCTCCGAAACATTTTTTTTTGTTTTTTGTCTATACAGAAAAATCTTGGAGTACTTGTTAGTAAAGTCATGCAGAATAGTATATATAGTCTTTTTTTGAGTTGAGTGAATTAAAAAACTTTTAACTATTTATGAAAAATAACATGTTTGTGTAGTGCAATTATTTTATAACCTTTTAAAATATTTTAAAGTAAGAAAATAAATATCTTTCATATTCAAAAAATAATGAATAATTTATATCTAAACAAATATTATCATCTATAAAATGAAGAAATATGTAGTTATGTACTAATTACGGAGTATAATTAAATATAGAAAGTGTGGGAGGGTATATGAACAATGACATTGATAATAACATGGACAAGAAAAAGAACACAAAGTTTAATATTTTTATTTAACATTAAAAATGACATTTACGTCTTTCCTTAATGGATGTTAAATACAATGCAAATGCACTATTATGTAGCACGAAGTCAATACATTACTTCCTTACCCAAAACCCTATCAAGCGATATGCTATCAGTACTTCGTTTTAGACAAGTATAAAAGCCTTTTTTGGGCCTCTAACTACAAGATTGAACTTTTGGTTGAGTTAGTTTCTTAACATGACATCACAACCTCGTTGACCCAAAGGTCAAGGATTCAAATTTCATTCAATTAGACTCTGAAAATTAATGTTCAAATGCAAAGCTTGCATAAAAAACAGTTTCCTCTAGGACATGAAGGACGTATTTGAGTAAAAGAACTTTATGGGCCCCCAATCACAAACCTGAGCTTTGGTTGAATTAGTTCTTTGACACTTAGCTTCTACCCATAAAAATTGGATGTAATAAGTTAATTTCCACAATAATCGACAAAAGCACATATGTTAACTAGCATTTAGTTGTTATAAGTCAGTTGCAAATGATGAAACATTAAATGAAATATGCTATTACCTCTAAATTTCACTTGCCAAATATAATACAGACTATAAAATTAATGGGATGAATTCCTGTTTTGTTCATCAACTCAAAATTGGACATTTTCTGTTGTTAAATTTTTTGGTTCAAATGGAAAATGGTACGAAGCATTTGCAAACCATACTTATGAGAATGGTGTGTGTAGTCTTTTTACTCTTTAGAGCATAGGAAGGCCTTAGGACATTTTTCCCAAAACCTAACACTTGAGTGAGATATAGTGGATTTGTTTGGTTTTGTTTAGTTAGAAACTACAATTTCATCCAGTAACAGGGCAGGGAAAAAAACATAAAATTTTAATATGGACCTATAAAAAATCTTCTACTAACTGTTAACCACTTAAAATCAACAAGTATCACCATTGTTAGTCAATATCATAAGTTTAGATAAGTTCACTATTGATCACTACGGACTATCTATTGGGTGTGTGTGAACTTTTCTTTTTTCTGAAAAAAAGAGCTCACATTTTTTTAGCAAGATTGAATCTTCCATTAATCCATTGAAAAAAATCCTTGTAAATAGTATTTAAAGCGTTTCAGAATGAAATGACGCCCCATACCCCCAAACACACAGACACACATCCAATGTACCTTAAAAAATCAAATGACCAGACTGAAGCTGTTCAATTGTGAAGCCAATAAACAAATTAAAGTTCAACAAACCTACACACTTATAATTCTACCATATATGCATGTGCAATCAATTAAACTGGATATGCAAACAAATAAAAAACCAATGACTCTAATAAGAAGAAGAAGAAGAAGAAATGGAACTTGGAGGGGTAAAACAGAGGAGCAGAAGAAGTGAGTGGGGAAGTAGCTAACTTCTCTTACTTATAAGGGCCAAAAAAAGCCTGTCAAAACAAAGGAAAGCAAAGCATTGGGAAGAAATTAAGCAGGAAGTTCAGGGGTGAAGAAGCATTTAAAGCATGGAAGAAGCCATGAAATGAAATTCATGAATATAAAAACAACACTTAGATTTCTTGTTGTTAAATGGATATGGAAAATACCAAAATGGTAGGAAGCATTTGCAAACTATACTTATGTAAATGGAGTGTGGTTTTCACTTATATTAGTGTAGTCTTTTTAATCCTTGGAGCATATGAAGGCCTTAGAACATTCNATAGTGGATTTGTTTACTTAGAAACTACAATTTCATCCAATAACAAACTTAAAAATTTCATATGGACCGGTATAAAATCTTCTACTAACTCGTAGCCACTAAAAATCAACAAGTATCACCATTTTAAGCAATAACATAAGTTTAGATAAGTTCGCGATTGATCACTCTTGAGTGTGCGTTTCTCTGGGAAAAAAAATCTCACTGTTCTTTAGCAAGATTGAATCTTCCATTGTTAAAAAATCCTTAAAAACAGTACTTTAAAAATTTCAGAGTGAAATGACACCCTCCACCCAATGTACCTCAAAAAATTGAAATGACCAGACCAAAAATGTTCAATAATTCCACCATGCATGTGCAAACCATTAAACTGGAAATTCAAACCAAGAAAAATAAATCAACAAATCTAATCATCATCAGAAGAAGAAGAAGAAGAAAGGGACCTTGAAAGGGTAAGACAGAGGAGCAGAGGAAGTAGCCACCCTCCCTTGCTTGCTTATAAAGGCCGAAAAAGCCTGAGAAAACGGAGGAAAGCAGAGGAGTGAGAAGAAATTAAGCAGGATATTCAGGAGGGTTAAAGAGGCGATAAAGCGTGAAGAATCCATGAAATGAAATTCATAAATTAAAAAAAAAACGTACGCAGAAAAGACGAAGAGGGCAACGGACAACCCCCGAGGGTCGATGTCCAGCTAGCTCCAAATCTCCATGGCTCCATCCATCTCATACCCATTTTTTTGCTTTGAAATGCACAACACGCGAGATGTTCAATATCAGTATATCTCAATTTAATTCGTTTATATAAAAAAAAATGATGTAAATTTAAAAAATTGAAATTACATATTAAAAAATTATACTAAAAGATTTACTCTGTACAAAACTAGTGGTGACATAATTATATTATTTTATCAAATGATTAACAAAAATAAATAAAAAAAGTGAATCAAGTAGACTTTATGAGCTTTACGTGTGACAATACCTTGCAACATAATACAGATGGATTATAATGACACAAAGTGTCGGTGCAAACTTTTCTGCTAGTATTAGTATGAGTGATTACAATGACATGCAGTGCAATATTTTTTAATTACACTATTATTTTGTATCAATGTGAACCGTTAAAATGATGGTGCATCTCTTTGGGATACAATTTTGGATACATTTTTTTCGTGTACCCTAGCATGGTTGATTAATTAATGAAAAATCATGTATGTTTGTCAAAAACTAAATACTCGTTTTAACTTGGAAAAAATATCCAGAATAATCACAACTTCACCAGAATATCATGAAAAAATATCTAGAATAAATATAATCTAATCTTTCAATGTAATGTATAATAATCTCAACTTTACTGAGATTTGTGAGTTTTGAGCCGCCATTAAGTTTTTAACGGATAGTTAACAGAAATGACCTGTTTTACGCAACAAAATAAAATAAAATTTTGGATTACTTTTTTTATGAATTATCTTTTTTAATTTTTTTGAAGTTTTCATTTAAACTTTTAAAATGACTTTCTATCTTCATTTCTTTTTCTATTTTTAAAAAAGTAGACTTACCTTATAAAAAAATATAAAAAATAGAGTGAATTTTCAAAACAGGTCTTTCTAATAGTGTTTTTCCAAATTAGTAATCAATAAGTAATAATTACCAACATAGTCCCTTGTAATTGAGATTCATTCCCTAAATAGCCCTTCGCCAAAAATGTCTACTAAATGCTAGTCAAATAAAGGCTATTTCGGTATTTTCTATCATCTAAAGTATATTTTCGAGATACTCTTTTATAATTATATATTTTTTCAAACTAATAGCTTCTAAGTAAATGCTTTTCTGAAATGGAGTCTATGGGCCTACTCGGGGTGGTCCGTTCTTCAACCAGCCACCTACTTGATTTGATGAACCATTTTGAGGACTTATTCATAGTTTAGATGATGGAAAATACAAAAATACCATCCACTTAACTATCATTTTATATGTATTTTTGATAGAGGACTATTTAGGAAATACATCTCAATTATAAATGGACCATATTGACAATTATTGCTTATTGAGAACTAATTTGGAAAAATACCTTATTACTCCGTAAAAAAGACCGTTTTTGGAATTTACTCTAAAAATAAAAAAGAAGAAAAATAACTAAAATCATACAAAATTAATGAAATAAATAAAGATAATCAATATATTTTAAACAAAAACTGGTAAGAAATAATAAAAAATATAAGAAGTGGTAGGTTTTAACATTTTACACAGTATACAGAGTATTAATATACTACTTTTTATTTTTTGAAAGAATGGATAAAATTGTGATTATCCTTGTTAATTTTTCCTAAAAAAAGAAGAAGTGATACAACCATTTCGTATATTCTTATTTTATTTTTTTTTACCAATTTCAGGCTAGTTTCTATTGTTTACCTTATTTATTTCATTGATTTTGTATGGTTTTAGTTATTTTCTCATTTTCTTTATTTTATATCTATTTTTTTTATTTTTTTCATTTTATTGTGTGAAAACAGACCATTTCTGTTAACTCAATGTTATCAACCTAACGACTGACCCAACACTCCAAATCTATACTTATTTAGAAGCAGAGAAAATTTGATTAATAACTTTCCCACCCATTGGGTTTGCATTATAAATGGAAAATTGTGTGCTTCCATTATTCTTTGTATGTTATATGGAAATGTTGTGTGTGTTCCCTTCATTATGTTTGCCATACATAATATTTTACTATATTTAGAGACATAAACATGATTTGTTATTATTATTATTAGGAAAATGCTTGTTCACAAATAAAATGGTCACAAACTTCACAAACTTACTAATTGTGAACTTCAATAAATAAAATTGAATATGTATGAATATATCATTCAAAAAAATATGTAGTATTCTATTTTCCATACATAAAATTTACCATACATACAATCATCCTTTATTTAAATGAAAGGAAAATGTTGACCAATAATTTTTATGCTCATGTAATTCTTATTATATATGGAAAGCATTTTTTAATCGTACGTAAATAAATGAATTTTTTATAATGAATATTTCAAACTTCCTTATTGTGAGAATTACCTTAGTGCAAACACTTTTTCTAGCATTTTTGGTGCCTTTTGGGTGTCTTCCACCCTAATTTTTTTATATTTTTACATTAAAAAAATAAATAATATAAATATTAAAATGAATTCAATTATATTAAATCTATATTATAATTAAATATAAATATTTTTTTAGCCACAGTCGAAGTATTAAAATTAATGTTTTAATTTAGAAAGAATAAATGTAAATGAAATTGTATGAGAAAAAAGAGTAAAATAACGTACACATTAATATTTTTATTTTTTCGTTATATATTGACTTTTGTTATATAAGGAGATTAAAAGATTATATATGGAGATATGGACATTAGCACTGGTCGTGCTACTATCTGGGAGAATTTAATGCATTGCACATTTTGTAGCATTTTTTGGTTTCCTTTGACCTTTGGGTGTATAAAGAGGTTGTTCTTCCCCATGGAAAATCATTTGTTTTTCCCTTTTGAAGGTAGGCACAACCATTATGTTACTAAGAACATTGATCATTCAATGGATTTTTGTAATAGTTTTCGATTGATAGTAACTCCGTTGACTAATCACTTAGTACGCGAAAAGATATTATCTGAAAGATACATAAATGAAGAAGTTGTTATTCCAAGACTATCATTGAGTCCATTTGATGCAAGAATTTTATTCCCGTTTCAAAGAAAACGATTTACTGTGATTACTTCATATGCAATGACACTTAACAAGAGTTAGGACCAATCTCCAAAATACCCGGAGTATGTGAGATTGTTGTTACTAGAACCGATACTTTGTCATGAATAACTATCTATTGTAGTTTCTAGAGTAATAAATCGTAATGCGTAGAAGATTCAGATATACAATGCAGAGAATGGTTACACAAATTCTACTAGTAATGTAGTTTATGAAAAAGTTTTTTAAAAAAATTGTTATTCATTTAATATTCATGTTTTAAAATAATGATTTTTTTATATAGTCTACTTTTATTTTTCAATAATGACACCAATATAATTTCATAACATAAATACGATCCGTTGTTTCAGTAATGTTGGAATTATCATATACGGAGTATCAGAGTAAAACGTGAACTTATTTTTGAAAGATCATGTAAAATTGTTGGGATTAATATGCTCACATGGGTCGGGTCGGGCTGAACGGTCCAAGCTCTGGGATCATCCTTGATCAGTCCTGTACGATAACCCGCTAGACCAATCATAAAACAGGAAAAACGCAAATTGACGTGGTTAGACTTTTACAAACGATGAAACTGGCAAAGTCAGTCTGCGGCGACGGCAACGACTATGAAATCCTGGCCGGCGCCAAATCCCCCCGATCCACCGCTGAATCTTCTCCGACGCCACGCAATTATCCGATAAAACATACCAAAGGAAAACCCATTTCCGTTTTTTTATTGAATTGCAGAATAGAATCGTAAAGTTTCAACTTTGAACCGAGCAGCGCCGGAGACGAGGAAGAAGAAGAAGCAGAAGAAGAGGGACTATGGCCTCGCCGTCGTTGTTTACCGGCGAGAGAGCAGTGATGGCGGTCTTCGTGGCTCGGATCATCTCATTGGCTCCGTATTCCTTCCTCTACGAGGCTATATCTCTTCTTATCCTCTCTATTCTCGCTATCTCTGTCGAGATCTTCGCAGACAACCACTCATCAACACGTCTTTCCAGTCCATTCAAGACCAGGTAAGAAATGGGAAACTGTTTCATATGAAATTCTTCAATTACAATATCGAAAATTTGGTGTTACGTTGTTTTGTTTTTTCCCGTGTTTTTTTGGGTTAAGTAGTGGATATTGTACCCCATCATCTTTCAAAATTTTTAAATTTGGGTATTTGGTTGTGGTTAGGCCGGGAGCTTCCTCAGGAATTTTTCTCGGGGCAGTAACACTACCCGGGCTTATGGTTTCGAAGTTGATTCAAATGTCAAGAGCTCTCTCCTTTGGTGAAGTTAGACTTGAAGGTATTATAACTGCATAGAGAGTTGGCTTTTACTTGAGCTTCATGTGTTGTATAAAGTTAAGCTGACTTTTTCACGGAAGGGGTCACATAACTTGTTAGAAATGGGTCACCTAACAGCTGATTTGTTGTCTTTAATTCACTCTCATATATGCTTTTCACAGAGCTGGAATATCTGCAAGTACTGTTCTGGGTCACATCTACCATTTGCTTCAGTGTGCTAGTTTTCCTAGTTCTTGTACCTTTCCGTGAACAGTGCTTAAGCCATTACATCAAATCTTCCTGGATCATAAGCTGCATTTGTTTGTACATAGGAGTCTGCTGTTTTTATTGCTATCTGACATCTCATCCAGGTAATTTTCCATTCACTAGAACGGTTTTTCCTCTTAACTTGGTTGGACGTTGATTTTGTTGAATGTGTTTGAAATTTCTTTGAAATGCATTTCTTTTGGATAAGCAGTTTAAGAGGCTCAAAATGTTCTTTTTGACTGTTTTTTGTATCTCCTTCTATAGCTAAACAAACAAGAATGCTTATATGCTCGCTTTTGATAATTTTGAATTTCCATTTTGTGTAGGATGGTATGCTGCACTTATGCCATTATGGCTTTCTTTCCATGGTCTTGCAGCTGTAATCCTAATTGTACATATCCTCAATACTTTTCCTGCATGCGCTTCCATTGGTAGGTCATGTTGCTTTCCACTTAGTCTTTCAGTATTCGAAAATACAGTTCTTTGCATCATCAAGTCAGTAGCTAGTTTCTCTATGTACTACACTTAGTCTTAATAATATTTTACGTTTCCTTCCCTTTGAGCATAAAAGCTTCATGTCTGGTGTTTGCAATCGTAGTCATATGTTTGGCATATAGACGTACAACATTTCATGTCAATATGTAAAATAACTCTATATGAATTGGGATTAAGGTGTTGGTTCACACATTTTTCCTTAAGCGTTACCTTTTGATTGTTTATCCAAAATGTTATGGAACTTTTATGATTGAAAAATTTATTTATTTAAAAATTACTACCGACATTTATCTCTGGACTATGGTTGTTTTGAACATATCATTATTGGCATATAACGGTTTTCTATGTTGTGCCCTAAGGGCACAGGTTAAAGGTCCACAATTTCATTGAAAAGTCAAAACATATAGGAGAAAGATGAGAAAATTGCAGAGGGGAAGGGAGATTGAGGTATTGGGAAGTGAGTGGGTGGGTGAAAAAAGTGAAAGACAGAGATGGAGCAACTGGAGAGGGGAAGAGACGGTTGGGTATCAGCAAGTGAATAGGTGAAACTTGGAGAAACTAGTAAAACACTAGTATTAGATTTGTGTAATTTCTGAGGATTCTAATTTTTTATATCCTCAACCATTAGAATTCAAGCTGTTTCCAGTCTCATTTGATGTGATAGTTTGGAAGTGAGTCTTACCAATTCCTCTTCTTAGGGGAAGCATTGTTGGTAACATCTGGCCTTGTTGCCTACGTTGGAGACATGTTAGTTTATACAGCCTCTAAGGTAAGTGTTAACTTTGTTCATGGAATACTCAGTTTTACATTGGTATGATTAATCATTTCCAAGCAGTAAATTTTCTTTGAACAGACCCATAAATACCTTCCATTATCAAATACGGTTGTAATACATTATATATCAAGAAGTGAGACGAGCACCATAATTCAGGTATTAGGCAGTTACATTTTTCTCAAATGTATTGAGAGGAAATGACTAATTGATTTGCTGTTGACATAGATTCTGATTTTATCCAGGGAATGACCATTGGCCTTCTTCTTCTTCCCATGTGTTTTAAATCGATTATCCAAGTTTTGGAGCACTTTGCCTTCTCGCCATATACCGGAGGCACGGCAGATAATGGGATCCGAAGATCTTTTCTGTTCTATGTTTTACTGGCAATTATTATGGCTGTGGTTGTTCCATCATGGATGCAAGTTGTTCAAAATTTCCAGATGCACCCATTTCTTTGGTAGTCCTTACAACTCTTGTATAAAACTTAAGTTGGTAACTCTGAGTTTGTGACCGGAATACTGTTGGGGATTGATATAGTGTCTTTGTAGTTTGTAGTGAATAGCTTGGCTTGGAGTTGTATGGTTTTCTTACATCAGTCTTTTTTTTCAGGGTATTCGATTTTGTATTTTCAGAACCACTAAAGAGTATTTCATTATGCATATATTGGTTGATTCTTATATATGCATCAGTTGTACGGTTTTACAACATTTCAAAACACAGTAGGATTGAAAGGATACTTCTTCGAAAATACTATCATCTGTTGGCAGTGATGATGTTTATTCCGGCACTAATCTTTCAGGTGAGGTTATTATTCAATAGCAAGTCCTTTTTCAGAATAAAACCTTAGCTCATTGCCTCCTTTCAAGAATTATGTTGACCTTTTTCTTCCTGCAACTACCTTTCAGCCAAAGTTTCTTGATCTGGCGTTTGGTGTAGCATTGGCAATTTTTCTGGTGCTTGAAATTATCCGCGTAAGCTTATACGCATGGAATTTCAATTTAAGCTTCTTCCAGAAGTTACTATCGCCTTTTTTTATATTAAAAAAAGGTATTGGTCTCCAAATTTACACTGCTTGATTTCAAAAGGTTGTATAATTTTCTTGTTAGATTTGGAGAGTTTGGCCATTGGGGCAGCTTGTGCACCAATTTATGAATGCTTTTACCGATCACCGTGACTCTGAACTTCTTATTGTGAGGTACAAATTCCTCTTTATCGTGTTGCCATATCTAGCCTGATCTTCTCATAATAAAGGTTATTTTCACTCTTCTTTGGTGTCACCATTCAGCCATTTCTCACTATTACTTGGATGTGCACTTCCAATCTGGTTGTCTTCTGGCTTCAATGATCGACCACTAGCCCCTTTTGCTGGGATCTTAAGTCTTGGAATCGGTGATACAATGGTGAGAAGTCTGACTTCAATATCAATGAATGAGAAGTGGAATTTACTCAATTTGATAAGCCCGTTTTGTCTTACTACTGAAATTTCAAATTAACTATAGCAAAAAAGTGTCATATCGGCATAGGATTCTTTTGCTAGCCATGAATGAAATGGTATACGGTTGTTGAGTGACCTTGAGAATGAGACTGTGGGGTTGTTTACACCGATTTGGTTCTGCTTGTTTTTACAGGCATCATTGGTTGGCCACAAGTATGGAGTTCTACGTTGGACCAAAACTGGCAGTAAGTTGTTTCCCATTCTTCTTCTTCTTCTTCTCCGTACTTAAATTTCTCCGGGTTGAAAACAGAGCACATTAATAAAAGGGTATTTTTCTTCGTATTTCAAAAAAAACATATAAATATAAAAATAGAGAAAACCATTGAAGGAACCGCTGCTGGAATAACGTCTGTCCTAGCTGCATGCTCCGTTCTACTCCCACTTCTAGCAACCACCGGCTACCTCTTAACTAAGGTATTTTTTTTCCTCTTCTTGATCGTACCTTGAGTTAATATTATTCCATTAATAATGAGTTACTTCCATATCTGACCTTATAATATTTGGGATTGCTCTATGTACAGAACTTGTTCTCTCTCCTTTTAGCTGTAACACTTAGTGGTCTATTGGAGGCCTACACTGCCCAACTAGACAATGCCTTCATACCTTTGATGTTCTACAGCCTCTTGTGTCTTTGAAATCCCAGTCTTATTGCAAGATTTACTAGGAATTTGTTTTTGAAGGCCAAGTTTTTGCAGGTTTCAGTATAGTTTTTGTTTTAACTTGTAAAAAAAAAAATTCATGTCCTATCAAAGATGAGTTTGGCAAAGTGATTGTAAAGAACTTGGAGAAAGACATACGGAGTAGTAAATTTTCACATTTACTTTATTACGGAGTAGTAAAAAACACCCTGTAAAATCAACACTATTTGAGCATGCACCATTATTGCCTTTCAACTGTGGATGCCATCCATTATTTCCACTCAGTCCATACATAAAAAGTTGATACTTCTTGTGTGTGAAATAAACTTTACTGGCCGCGCCCCTCCTTTTAGTTGTCCGAAAATAACTTTTTCACTTTATTTATTTTCTTAAAATATGAAATATAAAATATTTTAACTTTTCAAGACTTTTTTCTTAACTTTATTGAAATCAATCAATAAAATTTAATTTGAAGTAGAGGGTATACTTAGCATGCTCCTCCCTAGTCCATTCTAAAATCAACTTTCCATATAAAAATAAAACAATGCAATGCGCAGAGTAAAAAATATCCCACCAAATGTAAATAAATGAGTTTCAACATTACAGTTAAACCTTCCACCTATACCGCTTAATTTTTAATGTTCATTTATTTAAGAGAAATTTACCTCAATAAGACTAAAACATAATAACTTTCTCAATATAGGATCATATGTTTTTATTTTCTAATATAGAATTTTTGGTCATTATTAATTAGTCATTATTCAAGCAAATTTTCATCATTACTAGACATTATTTCTCCAACTAGACATTATTAAGTCCTATTTAGAGAATAAAAAATTCAAGTTCTACATTGAGAAATGACTTTTGTTTTAGTCCTATTTAGTGTAAATTTCACTTTATAAAGTGTAAAAAAGTTTGTCTGTATTCATCTTGATATGTACCAAGATTGATACCAACCAATCTTGAACTGATATTTCTAGATCAGGATCATTATCGGCACGACACAAAATACATATCGGGTCATATTATATCATGTTCCCTCTAGTATAATTCAATCATGACATAGGCAAGAAGATGCAAGTAACATTTTGGGGAGCGTAGCCTAGTTTGAAATACCAAGAACAAATCACACTCCCTATTGATCAGTGCATCGAATTAAATTATGGTTCAATTAATTGCTAGAGTATAAAAAACTTTTTGTAGTTAAGCTTCCAACCATAAGTTTGAATTTTTCTTTGAATTAGTTAGTTATTGGACATGGTATCACAGTGTTACTGACAAAAAGGTCACAATCAACTTTGAACTTCACCCTCATCCAACCTTAATAAAATCAATGTTCACCTGTAAGGTTCGAGCAAGTTCAAATCTCACATTTACATGACGGGGCGCATTAGAGTAGAAAATCATTTCTACGTCTGTAACCACAAATTTGAACTTTTGGTTGTCTTGGTTCCCTATCATTAACCTCCTTCAAAGCTATTGGCTCGATCACTTTTAGACTGTGTTTGGTTCAAGGAATTAGGAAGGAAAAGAAAAGAAAACGAAAGAAATTTGTTTTTCCCTCCAAAATGTTTGGTTTTTCCTAGCCTCATCTTAGTATATTTTACTTTTTCATTTTCTTTTCCATCATCTCTTCTGTTCTTTTCTTCTTTAACCAAACAAGAAAAACTGGTTTCCATCTCAATTTCTTTTCAAATTTCTTGTTCAAGGAATTTGGAAGAAAAAGAAAAGAAAATAATTTTCTAGCAATTTCTTCACCAAAATAAGGAAAATTTGGTTTTCCCTTCTCTTAGTATATTTTTCCTTCTCATTTTCTTTTCCTTTTACTTTTCATTTCTTTTCCTCTCTAGCCAAACAAGAAAATTTATTTTCCACTTTATTTTTTTTCTTTTTCCCTTTCAAATTCTTTGAACAAAACTTAGTGTTAGGGATCTAAGATGTGATTTTTTTTTGTGGTTTGAATATGCAAGTACCTTAACAATTTAGAATCCACATGTTTTTTTTTGTTTGAGGATGCAAGTAGCGTAGCTAGGTACTAGGTAGTGTAACCTAGTAGGCATGCAATAGTATCTCATATATGTACAATAATAATATGCGGCAGAGGAAAGAAAGAAATTAAAGATAAACAGATAAAAAAAAAAGAGAGATGATGGATTTATGAGCTGTGCTATGTGTTTCGTCTTCCACCTCCAACACTTTGTCCAAAAACTGACACCTGCCATGGGGGCTGGGACTCGTGGGTTTGCCACATGGCGGCCTCTGGTTAGCTCCCGGTGCCAAATCTCACGTGGACGTACTCCCCATATCACGTGGGCGATCTTGCATGCATGCATGCATGGGTCTTCGAGCTCCATATATATATATGGCCCCATTTATATATCCAGCCCCCCCACCCCACTCTCTCCCAGTTTCACCTCATCATCATCATCTTCTTCTTCCTTTTTCTTCTTCATCCTATTCAGTGAATGAACAAGAAAACAACGTAACTCCTATCTGCAGGCTATACACTACTGAGAATAAATTAACTAACCAAAGTGTGGCTTTTATCTGCATTTACACCTGCACCTGCATTGCTAGCGGGCCCAGCCCGAATCGCCCGTCGGACTCAATTCGAGTCGTATATCTCTCTCTTGAGAGAAATGCGAACCGATGAGTATGACGGAGCGGTTTGGCGCATGGATGCAGGTGCAGGAGTAATTGCAGCTGAATGGCATTTTGGATATCGATGGGTATGATTTGGTGTGGTCCCCAATCCGGCCAACTTAATCAACTCTAGAGGTACGTGGAGCACATACATACGAGGTACATACGCACATAGATATGGGATACATCGATATAATATAATATTTCTTCTCTCTTATATCTTTTTTTCTGTTTTCACTTTAGCAATTAACGTTTTTTTACTTTTACTACAAAATATGAAAAAAATACATTAGCAATACATTCATTTTGACATATAGCTTTGAAATATCATATTTTTATAATACATTTAATATATATAAATAGATATATTAATAAATAAATTATTCATCTCTAGAGGTGGAGCACATATATACATACATACATACATACATGAGGTACGTAGTACATACATAGATATGGGTGGAGTACTCCGTATATAATACTAACTTTGTTTCAAAAAGATTTACACGTTTGGACTAAAGTTGAAATTAAAAGAGAGATAATTTTGTGTTGACTTTCCAAAAATACCCTTGATGTGATGGGTAAAAGTAGAATGTGATGTATAGATTATTAGAAAAACAGTATGATGTAATAGGTAGGGTTTGAAAAAGTAAGGGGTAAAAGTGGTTTTTTAATAGAAATGGGTAGGAGATTGTGAGACGCAATTTTTTTGAAAGGTGTAAATCTTTTTGGACGGAGGTAGTATATATGCAGGCATGGGGTCGTCCGGATGGATATTCTTTTGAAAATTAATTAACTTTCATACATACTTATTTAGGAAGTTAATTAACTTTCATGTAATGGAAATCACCTTAAATAGGACTAAAACATAGAGTAAAGTACCAAAATAGGACTTTGATGTTTTTCTTCCCGAAATAGTACTTTGCACTGTGGTAATGTGACTTTGCACTGTGGTCATGTGGCATTGTATATGTGCACATTACTATACTTTTTTGGTAATGTATATGACCATGTTTTGTAATGTAAGTCCTATTTCGGGAATAAAAACATGGAAGTCCTATTTTGGTATATTTTCAATGTTTTAGTCCTACTTTGGTTTTTCTCTCTTCATGTAAATATATACATACGTATCCGTCTTATATCTTTTTTATGTTTTGACTTTGGCAGTAAATATTTTCTTTAAAGTTTGACTATAAATTATAGAAAAAATATATTAAAATGTGATATAAATTTAGTATCAATAGATTCATTTCGACGTGTAATTTTTGAATATCATATTCATATACTCCTATAATATATGAATATATATAAATAGAGATATTAATTATCAAATTAATGCATTAGAGAATGTAAAAAATCACATAGGATGATAGATATTGGACAGAGGGAGTATGTACGTGCATGTCTCCTCATTTCATCGTCGTTTCTTCGCATATATTTGTAGGGTCTGTTTGGGAATAACGTTCGAGATTAGCGTTAGCGTTTTGGATAAAATTTTAACGGTGCAAATTATTTTGAAAACGCTAACGCTAAACGCTGGCCGTAGATAACCTTTTCAAAACGTTAATGTTAATAGCTAACGCTATTCACAAACAGGCCCGTAGCAGGGAATTAATGCATGGGGTCGTCCGGGTGGATGTTCTTTTGGAAAAATATATAACAACCTTAAACAAACATATGTAACTCTCAAAATTCATTTCCCTAAATAGTTGTGTGTGTGAGAGAGAGAGATCTCAAATCCACCATGTGTGTACCCCATGCTTTATGCTTACCAGTTTTGATATTTTTCTGTCAAATTTGATAAATTTTGACCACAAATTAAATGTCATATTAGATATTGATTCAAACTTAATTTTATCACAAGTCACCCCATCAAAATGCATCGTTCCGAAATAGGTAAATTAAAATTTGAACTTGAAAATGGAGTATTCTTATGTCAAATTTCATTCACTTTCATTGTTAATTTTTGTTAGATGAAATAATATATTGAGTCACTTTTTTGTTTTGTAAGAATTTAAATTTGTTTTAATATTTTTATATGTAACTTTATTTTTGATTTCAATACAGTTCTCAAATAAAATAAATTAAAAATAACATAACCTAAACATCATAAATTGAAAAATGTGCTTATAAAATGTGCTGGAGGGAGTAATATGAAGTGAATTCAAACCAGAGTTTATTCAATCAAGCGGCCCAAAATCATGCCCATTAAAAATCAGTCAAATGGGATAAGAATATTGTTGAGCGTAAGCCCAAAACAATATGATCCAAAGTTATTCCAACTCTAACCGAAACTGAATAACCTAATTAATTGGCATGTCTACTACTCTCTCATAGTCTCATGTCCTTATTAGACGAGGAAAAAAAAGACTAAAGTAGGAGTAAAACATTGAAAATATGCTAAAATATAATTTTTATATTTTTATTTTCGAAATACGAGTTTAAATGTATTTACATTACCAAAATGTATAGCAATGTGCACATGTACAGGCCACATTACAACTACATGTGCACATTACTATACTTTTTTGGTAATGTAAATCTTATTTCGGGAATAAAAACATGGAAGTCTTATTTTGGTATATTTTCAATGTTTTAGTTCTACTTTGGTCTTTCTCCCTAGAGAAAAAGTCTGATGTGATAGGTAGGTTAAAAATTAATAGGGGTAAAAGTGAATTTTTAATAGAAAAGAGAAGGATTTTCTTGAGATGGATGAAAAAAGGAAAGAAAAAGAGTTTTGTGGGACGAGGGGATACTAGGATTGGACACGGTTCCGAATAAGAGGCGCCACTGGCATTTCTGGAACCAGACCGGAGACGGACATAAGCCGCCGGGTATGGGAACAGGACCCGGAACCATTGGACACGTGTCTAGTTGCGGGTTTTATTTTTGGGGACTGGAACTGGCAGTTCTGGTCCGATTCCGGTTTCAATAATTTCTTTTTCTTTTTTTCCTTGGCGATTGTTGGGTGTTGGTCCTCCTGGCTGCAAGTGCAACGACTATATAGCCATCATGGAGGTTTTGGGGGTAGAAATCATCCTAAATAGGACTAAAATATAGAGAAAAGTACCAAAATAGGACTTTCATGTTTTTTTTCCCGGAATAGGACTTTGCATTGTGGCAATGTGGCAGTGTACATGTGCAAATTACTGTACTTTCTTGGTAATGTATATGATCATGTTTGGTAATGTAAATCCTATTTCGGGAATAAAAACATGGAAGTCCTATTTTGATATATTTTCAATGTTTTAGTCATACTTTGGTCTTTCTCCCTTTTGGGGGGTGGGGGGTTTAACCTATAAATACCCTACTAATTTTTTTTTAAAAAAAAATTCACAACACAATCTCTAATTTTTCTATTCTCTCTCTGTCAAAATCTCTAATCTCTTTTTCAATTCTCAACTTTCATATTTATATACTTTAGATTTTTATACACTACTCCTTCCGTTTCTTAAAACCCTCCCTCTTTCATTTTTTTTGTTTTTCTTAAAACACTTCCCTTTTCTATTAAAAAACACTTTTACCCCTACTTTTTCATACCCTACCTATCACATCATACTTTTTCACTAACAACTAAACCATCACATCTTACTTTTACCCATCACATCAAGGGCAAAATTGGAAAGTCAACTACAATTTAACACTTCCTTATTCTTCCCCAAAGTCAAAAGGGAAATTGTTTTGAGAAACGGAGGTAGTATATATAATCATATATTATAAATATATTATAGATTTATATTATACTCTAGCTCTCCGTCCCAAAGACTCCTTCACTTTTTTTCCCCACACACTCCTCTTTTCTATTATAAAACCACTTTTAGCCCATACTGATTCCTAACCTAACTATCACATCATACATGTTTACTAATAATATTTTTATCACATCATACTTTTAATCACCACATCACGGAAAAATCAAAATGAATACATCTTTTTGGGACAGAGCAAGTAATATCTTAAACTATAATATATTAATAAATTTGTAAACTAAAAATATATTATAATACTAATATTAGAAATTTAGAATATTATAATATTATAATATTATAATATATTTTCTTATTTTTTATCAATATTAAAATGTCGAAGGATTCTGATAGAAGGTTTGTAGATATGGGCGTTGTGAATCGCGGAGGTTCTAACAGAGGCATAGGCAAAGCCCACGACACGTCCGAAGGTTCAAGGCCGGTCACGTGCTTCTCAAGTGCGATACTTTGTCTCGTCCTTTCCTACAATCCCGGCCCCGAGCAGGGCGATGCCATGAGTGATCAAGAATTTGATGAGTTCATGCATGGGCGGTAGGAATGATGCCAATCTACAAACCCTTGAGGATATTTTGGAGGATGTTGAGAAGGCGGAGGAACCAAAAAGAAAGAGCTCTTGATGAACATGAGAAAGAATGGAGGAAGAACACCAGCGCCACCACCCCCGAATCTTACTCTATACAAAGCAAAAAGAAGCTGCTACAGTGTTCCCGCCAAAACACTGTAGCACAGTACTGGATTGCATAGTGTTGGGCCTATATTTTGGAAATTATGTAAAAACAGCCCAGAATAATTTTTTTTGCCAAGATTCGGCCCACACTAATATAATAAACCCAATATAAAAAACCCTAATCCACAACACAGCCTCACTTCGCGGCTATAAATACATCAAAAAACAATGAAAAAATAAATTAGATTTTCAGCCAATTACAATCTTCCAATACTATATCCTGTAGCTTTTCCTTCATCCAAATCAATGGCAGCTCCAAGTGACTGGTGCTTCCTCAGAAATGTAAACACCAAGACAAAACAATGTGCAATTAAAGTTCGTGTGGTTCGAGCATACCGATGTCCTCCACATGCTTCTCGCAGAGAAACTTTAGAGATTCTTTTTCACGACCAGCAGGTTTTTTTAGATTTTCAGTTCAATATATTTAAATGTTTGTATGAACATATATATAAATATTAAAGTTTATTTTAACAGATACATATATAAATATTACTCTAAATGTATATATAAATATAAATATACATATATATATATATACACACACACACACACAGATATATATATATATATATATATATATATATATATATATATATACGTGATTATTCAAAGAGCAAAATATAAAAACTATAAATGTAAATATAAATAAATATAGTTATATATATACACCTAAATATACGAAATATAAATAAGTGTAGACATACATATATGTATATATTACTCTAAATGTATATATAAATAAATATATAATATATATTAATATATATATATTATATATATATACGTGAATATTCAAAACGTCATGTCTGCTTCAACGGTGTTGCATCCCGTAGCGCCACGCCAGTATACATTGAATTCTTTGTAACCTCAAAACGCCAGTTATACCCTGAAAATAACAACATATCAATCACTGTACCAGAATTGGCGCATGCTCTATATAACAGCCTGAGGACATTTTTAAAAGTTCACAGTTCATGAAGAATTTGCATTACTACTATGTTCACACATCCACCCACACAGTCGTATTATTGAAAACAAACTTCAAGTTCATTTTATAATACTAAACATATACATATATCAGGGAACACGTATGCATGCACAGATTCCACAATATCTTATTTCAAAATATGACCCACTGTTGAGAGAAGAGAGAGTTTACAAAATACGTGACTTCACTGTGGAGGCAAATTTTCAACCCTTGAAAACGGCTGATCATCCATTTATCATGAAATTCATTTCGTGTACCAAGGCTGACAAAATTCACTCCA